GTCTTTCATATCATCCAAAATAAAAATCATAACCCTTGACAGTCCACTTTGTGTGTTTTTTGAATGCCATCTGAGAAGCAACATCTCATTCACAACTGGGACCAGGAGCTAGAGTAATTTCAGTATCAGCCAAACATATCTAATTACACATGAATAATGTGAATTCTAAAACCAAGAAAAAGAGATGAGCTAGTTACTTAATCTGAAAAATGTTGAGGGTGTAACTGCAGTGCTGTGAATCTCTGAATACTGCCCCGAGGTTGGCAGTACTGCCACAGAGAATATTTCTCTTCAAACCACATGTAGGCATGCAGGTTTATGTGATTGGTATCACTAGGAGTTTGGTGCTCCTCTGTGCTCTGCAATCTTGTCTCCAGTGTAGCTAAGAACCTTCATCTAGGCATCCACATTACAGGTTTTTAATGGAAATGATTTGACCTTAGTGGGGATGGCTCTTAGGTTTGCATTGTTAAGGTTTTTGCTGGAGTGAGTCCAGCAGTCTTTAGACTTGAGTCCGCATAGCCAAATCCTCTGTGTACAGTGGGAGTTCAGTCTACTGGAGGTGATTGAAGAGGTGTAGGTCCTGGGCATGCTTGGCCTCTCAGTGCATAGCTGCTATGTGCTTAAATGAAGAGTTTTCATTTCTTACTCAGCCCAAAGGAGGTTTCTTCCTTCAAGGTCAGTTTAGAGTGCTGAGGAATATGAGTTGTCTTGATTTCTGACCATATGCAGGCTTATAGAATTAAAAACCAGTGTGTCTCATCTCTCTCACCTCTTGCTGCAAAAATTTCCCGTGGCAAGTCAGATGCTGTGAGTCTAGAAATTTCTTCATGAGGGGCATTTTGACTTTTTATTTTCCTTTTTTAATACAAGAGAAACGGAAAGGAAAATAAAAGCTAGAATTAAAATTAAGATCAGTTGCTGTAGCTGAAAGAGATGGCACAATTGTAATGTGTTAGAAGATTGCCTTGTTTTAAAGAAAGTGCTGATTAAGATCAAATTTATCTTGAGGTTACATTTTGATTGGACCTAAACTGAGGGGAGGGTGGTTATATTTCAGACACAGTGCAAATGATGCATGTTAATATCCTGTGTTTATTGCCACTTGAAATTACAGCATAACGTTGAATTGCTGCCAAATCTACAGTTAAGACTCCAAAGTAATCACTATGATTATTCCAAGTCTTCATGGTAATAGCGGAAGAAGAAGTATGATATGAAAGCTACTGTAGCCTAAGCTGTCAGAGTCTTTTTATCCTTTAGGGCTCAGACTGTCATTCTACCCAGTAGAGGGAATGGTTAGACATACACATTGGCCAATCAATCCTGAAAGGGATATTAAATAAATGGACTTAATTATGTTTTTCATGTTTTGTTTTCAGACTTATTTGGCTTTTATATTAACTCCTGTCTCACTAACTTTTCCTGAAATGAGGAAAAGCATAGCTTTTCTTTATTTTTGGAATGCTTTTATTCATATGTTGTCAAGGTGTAGTATTTTTCATTTTTATTAGAAATCTTTTTGGGTTTCCTCCCTGTTCATCTATAACATATTCTATTTTTACTCATTTTCTCTACAATCCAGTGGATAGTTTATCTCCTTGAAATATTCTTTTACCTCTGCTTAACTATTGGAAGTTGTAGATTTGTATCTGATCTGAATGTATACACGTGTTATTGTGGTTTATTTAGCTGATGGGAGATTAAGTAGCGAGGTCAGGGATAAACAGAGTAATATAAAGTCACAATTTACTAAAAAATATTAGAAGAGTCTCACAGGAGGGAGAAATACTCTGTAAAATGTTGTTTAAAAGAAGATTAAGTGAAATTTAGTTGTGATTAAAATCTATTCTGGTTTTTGGATACACAATTATTCAAGTAGTTGTTTATGTTGAGTTAAAACCCTCAGCAATCACTGTTAGTCATCTCTCCAGATAGTATGTCCCAGTTGCATCCCTTCATCAGTTGCTAACAGGAAGGTTTTGCTATTTGTTTCACTTACAAAGTAAATAAAACTTGCTATGGAAGACATTTAATGTGGGTACAATATTTACTCTGGAATATTTTCCTTAATAAGTAGTGTTAGCCAGCAGGCAAGTCTGAGTACCCAGTGCATTAGCTGTGGGAAGCAAATCCGTATGCCTGGCACATAATGATCAGTATAAGCATTGAACTATAAATCAGAACACTGAGTTAAATTAAAAAATATTTCATTAAATGAATTATGATGTGTATGTGAATAAAAGTATAGTTAGGGACTCTGTCATATATGCTTAGATGTCTACAATCTTTAAGCTACTCTTTTTCTGATAGATTTAACTCTGAATGATACATAATATTTTTGAAAGACAGCATTAGCAAATATCACAGTGTGTTTGCATTTCATTATAGCTAGTATTTTTATGACTTCAGATTCTTGAATGATGTTCTCTGAAAGCTGCTCTTGGGTCTTCATTATGAAACTTAGACATGCCTATACTCAAGGCTCATTAACAGTGAAAACCACTCCCAAATTTGTAAACCTCATTCCTTTATGATTTTGAAGCCAATATTTTAGTATTTTTATAAATGTAAGATATATTAGGACAGAAAAACAACGCAAGACAATAGTGCTGTAGTCCAGAGATTACCGTTCTGTACAAGTGCAGTTCAAGCCTTTTCTGGAGTATATGCCATACTGATTTCTTGCCTTAGTTGTATAAATTTAAAAAAAAAATATTAACAGGAGAGAATGAGATAGTGATACTTACAGAACACGTTATTTGGACTAGAAGACTGTATTAAGCTTTCTGTGTAGAATTACTACTGGACTACTTCTATTGATACAGAATGGAAGGACTTGTACACTGCAAGCTAAACATGGATCTCACGACCAGCCTCGTGCATGTGTTAAAATGCGAGGATGTGCCTGGGCACAAGCTTCATCAGGAATTGTAGAGCTCAGATTGTAGCCTTGCTTGTGGAGTTTACTTTAGCAGAGAACCAAGTCCTTTCTGTGATCTGGTCAGGAACCAACATCAATGAGCACTGTATAGCTCACTCAGCACACAGATAGTTTGAATTCATTTATTTCCAAGAAAAACTAGATATTTTGAGCCTGAACCGCTGATGGTAGCGTGGCAAGGAAAGTACAAATCTCTGTGCTGGGCATAAAAGCTTCTCCACTCCCCTGTGCGATGGAAGCAAAGCGACAGGGCAGTACATGACGACCACATTCCATTTCAGGCTGGTGCCGTGACCTCTGCAGGAAACTGCCAAATGAGTGTGTTACAAGCATCTTTGAATGCTAGATCTAGGCCACCAGCAGCATACTGAGAGAATATGTAGTAATAAATTAAACAAATACTGTTTGAAGAGTTTACCAAGAGACAAGAAGCTATTGGATACAGTAGGAATAAGATATGGCGTTTGTGAAGATGTCATTTACAGAGGCTTTCCAATAAAAATGACAGAGTTTCCTACTATTGCGTAAAGTATATAACTAAAAAACTACAAGATCATAGCAAGGTTATAAACTATTATCTTTCTGATCTTACTGTCCTAGTCACACAGCTAATAGAAGTACCTTTGACTTAATATATACTTTAGTATGGGGTTTCAGTGGTGGACCATGGACCCTGAAGTATGTGCGTTCTCTCTCTTTTTTTTGATAAGGTACTTCAATATGTGCCCCATTTCAGGTACGTGGAAGTTAAGCAGAAATGAGTATCACTTTGTTTGTGCTTCAAGTACAAGTGCACATGCTTAAGTAACCTGTCAGATTAGAGCATCAACAAATGTTGTATTTATAGTTTTTTCCCCCAAGACCAATTGCAGTAAAAGCTCAGTCCAGCTGTCATATTTGTGTAACTCATTTGAAATTTCAAATTTTTAACTTTGGCTTTACTCTAAAAAAGTGACTACATAAAAATTGTACTGCTTTGTCTAATACATTTCCTTCTCTGTATCCACATGATTATAATTCTGTTTGCATAACTCATTGCCATTTATCTCTGTAAGCAATTTACTGTCACTGTATGAGAGTGATCAGCATTCAGTGGTGTCTTCTCCATCATTTGCTGAATATCCTAAATACATTCTGAATTCGGGATTATTTTTTTTTAATTGTTATTGAATCGTGAGCCAAATAGAGCCCAGCTGGACTTTGAAAATCAGTGTTTTGTTTGTAGGCTACCAGTTGATAACGGGACCTCTTTGATCTGGAAAGACAATAAAAATGGATCCTCACACTGGCTTTTTTTGGAACCACAGTATAGCACACTGTCCAACTGCAAAAGATGAAGAAGTTGAAAAGAGTGAAAGTCTGATTAAATTATGTGGGGAGAGTTTCTTTGTTGCCAAAAACCTGACTGAAGCTCACACAAGGAGACAGCTGAAGCTATTACTACATTTGAGTCAAGATATTATTTGGACCTGAGAAGGAAAGGCAAAGAATTGATTTTTCTGCATCAAAATGATTTGCCATTTTATCCAAAATATGTCAGCAGGAGAATGGTGAAGCAATGGAAAGATGTTATAAACTAGTTCTTTCTCCTGGATCATTCCTCTGATATAACTATAGCAGTGATTATTTTTACATTTAGTATTTATAAAGGCAGCCCCACTATATAAAGTGATGTATTTATATGGACACGTTAAAATGAGTCATTACTAGTATTAATTCTTTTTTGCTTAGTCTGGAGATTTTCTCATGTGGCCTCATGAACCTTGCACAAGGACCAAAATCTAAGGCAGTATTTTTGAGAAGAGATGAAAAGTGTGATCATTTTGGTGTGATTTACAAGAGAAGTTATGGAATTTAACATTCACAGACTTGGTCAGGGAAGATTAATAGACCTTGTAGTCCTTATCTCTTAGAAGCTTTTGAGTTTCTTGTCCACCGAATTTTAGTAGACAAGGTATGTACAAAATCTGACGTTTACATGAGAAAAATAAAGCTGTATTGTCTGTTATAGAGAAAAACAGTCTTCTGAATATATGTTGTTGGTTTTGTCTTTTAGATCATTCTTGTAAGTTCTTCCCATAACGACCGTGAACAAAGCCTTTTCATAAGCACAGATGAAGGAGCCACTTTCCAGAAACAACCCATTAATTTCTTTGTGGAAACTCTCCTTTTTCACCCCAAAGAAGAAGATAAAGTACTTGCTTATAGCAAGGAAGGAAAGGTAAATCTTGAAGATACTGCATTTCGTTGAAATTTAGGAATTACTTTGTTAAGGAGATACAAAACAGTTCTGATATGTTCGGATTAGTGTTGGGTTTTATGAAATACCAGTTGCTCAAAAGAGAATCATATTCTGGTTTTGAGATTTCTTTAAATATTTATTGTCTTCATGTCCAATTCTGTTTTTACAGTAAATTCAATCCTGCCATTTTCAGTTTATATGGATATTGGTAATATTTATCCTCCTGAGCAATATAGTAAAATAGTACCTCTGAATTGTGCTCCTCCCTAGAAAGCGACCATAAGCAATTGCTCTGTAATTTATAGTGTAGTAGAAAATTAATGTAGCTTTAATAGTGCCTCCAAAGGCTGTTCATGGGATGTAAAATAAAGTAATATAAAATAAACTGCACAGTCATACAGCAGAAGAGGGAATCAATGAATTTACAGTGAATCTGTAGAAATGTAGAATAATTATCTCTCTTATCATGTATTTATACCACTTTCAGATTCAAGAGTTGTAGCATGTTTGTAAATTTTGACCATCTTTTAGATTTCTTCTGATCAAACTATAAAGTCATTTTTCTGGATGGGTTAGGCTAAGCACTGATGAGTGTGCATGCAGTCTTTAAGTGTGTAGTTCATCTCTTTTTCATGGTGCTGAAACTGCAGCTGTAAAGTCACTGTGATTCTGGTTCTGGTATCAGTCTTGGCTCACTTCCATTGTTTATCCTTGTTTTAAACTGAAATTAGTAAACTCTAGTCCATTGTAATCCTTGTCATACTTTGCAGAAGGTGTATATTTAGTTTGTGAGATTAGTCAGAGAAAGTTGCTCATGCTGCAGCCAAATACTGCACTGATTTCAGTGATGTATCAAGTCATCCTTTGGGATGTTTTCTAGGATATATAAATTGATAGCTGATCCCAAAACAATTCACATTTACAGATATGTGCAAGTAAGGATAGAACTAGAATAAAAAACATAACAAACCAAACTCAGTAACAAATTACATTAAATATTTTAGAGTAGCAGCCTCAATTTGAAATCCTAACACAATTACAAATACGTTGAATGCATGTTATGTAAACAAAATACTTCAGGAATGCCTTATGTTATGAAAATCTCTTTTTTTCAGTCTGACTTGTGTTTATGATGATTGATATAATTCCTGAATTCTGTATGGTTACAGAATGTCAGAACCTTTAATTGTAAGAGTCCAAAGAAGCGTATTAGAGGTTGACGAGCCCACAACAAGTGAGAGAGTAGAAATATTTTCCAGGAGAGAGAAGGAGGTAGAAGCACAAAGTGAAGCATTTGTTTTGTGTTTTGATGAATTATACGTGATAGGGTGATTTCATTCTATCCTTGGATAATCTTCCAGAAGGATTGATGCTGTTATTTGCCACACCTATAATGTGACTGGACAAAAAAACTACAAAATATTCAGTAAAGACTAGCTCTGCAAGAGTAGCATGAAGGATTAGGTAATCTAATGGACTTTTATCAGGTTTTTAATATGACACTAAAAGGATCCAACCATAAAGACTTACTGGACAAGTCCTACATCTTTACTTGAGATCTGTGGGAATGAAGGATGCCTTTGACTATAATTGTCAGTAACCTGCTTACTTTTTGTATAAGATCTGATATATCTGGCCTAGAAGGGAAAGGAAGATGAAGTGATGTTGGCAAAGGAGGAGTTGAAAATCCAAATTGCAACTTTACATAAGAAAGAGTTGCTGTACTAAAATTAATGATCTTGAGAGATAGTGTTGATCTAAATTTGACCTAGGAAGATGGTATACTCTAGATTTTTGAGTTAAGTAACTTTACCTTCACTGAGAGAAAGTAGTATCAGGTTGTAACACAATCTAAAACTCAGGAGAAGCAGTTACCTCCTGTTAATGTTTTCTTACAAAAGCACATATGAGAATATAAGGAATACAGGATCACGTCCTTCATAAGTAGCCATCTGCAAGGCTTCTCTGTCTACTGGAGCATCACGGCCTTTTTCACAACTTCTGATTTGATGTAGGGCTTAATTTATATTGCAAAATATATATTGTTCTTTCATTCAGAACCCTAGATTTTGTTTAAATAAAACTCTAGCCTGTAGCTGACACTGTAAATGAAGGCAAATCCAGTCAATATGTTTGGATTAATCCATTTACTGCCTCAAATCTATACTTTCTTTTTCTGGCTACCTCAGTTATAAGGAATAGCAATCAGCTATTCACTGAGTCTATATAAATGCTTCTAGATTTTTTATAAAACTCAGCAGGGATGCAGTAGATTTTAATTGTTCATTTGGAAGCTGAAAGGATGAAAAAATGACAAGACTGAGAAAAGCATTTTCAATTTTTTAAAAAAGTGATTTCACACATTTATTAATTACATGAGTGGTAATAAACAGAATTACAAGATCTATTAGATTTGTTTATTGAAGCCAGATATTTTAGCTGCCCACTAATATAACTGTTTTTACCTTATATCTAATTTCATTTAGTAGTTTTATCATATGTACCTGTTAAAAACCAAAACACATATGGGTAATTTTTTAAATTATTTATTTCAAATACTGCATCAGTTAAAAATTCCTCTCAGTTTGAATTTGCCTTATTAGTCCTACTTCACTCTCCTTTACAGTAAGATTACAAGGGCTTCCTCCCAACTCTAAGCCAAACTGTTAATTCATAAGCTCCCAGACTTCAGTCTTAAATGTTTGTGAGGAGAGGTAGTTTGGGTTTGGTGGTGAGGATTTGGTTTGGTTTGGTTTGGTCTGGTTTGGTCCCTGCTGCACAGGCATCGCTGTTCTAATGGTGGGAATCCTCTCATTTTCTTCTGAAATTCCTCCATGACAAAGCTATGTGATTTTGTTCGTGTGCCTTATTGTAAATAGCTCTTTTCCTTTTTGCCGGGAGGCTATGAATTCTTGGCTTTCTTTGCAGCTTGGACACCAGGGATAGGGCAGCACATTAAATGATAATATCTTCCAGATTTATAGCAGTCTGCTGGGGCAGGTAACTCGCTGAGCAGAGTCCACCTTTTTAGAAAGATAGTCAAACCAATGGTTATCTTTTCTGTAATGCCTGGGGTGACAAATGTCTGAAGAAGTAAGAAGCTTAGGTTCTCAGTCCTGCACGGTCTAGCCCATTCAAAGCCACATGTCTCCCTCCCACGAGACTGCTCTAAGCTATATGCTGTGAAGTACACTGGTTGCAGCAAACCATAACCCAAATAATAAAACTAAGATCAGAAAGTTAGCAAGCAGATCATCAGTCTGGCTCTCCAACCCCCTTGTTAACGCATTTAGCTCTGAGGGCGAAGACCTTCTGGTCCCTGATCATTTACGTCTATGCACTGACTGGGTGAATGCTAAAGTAAACAATCTGAGTACTGATTACAGTTTCTTACCCAAACTGTGGTGTACCTGCTTTAATTGAGTGTGCAGTGGAAAAAAGCGCAGTCATTGTGAAGTACAGACTGGGAAATACTGTTTTATCTTCAATTCAAATTTTAGTAAACTTACCCATAGTGTTTATGCTGATATAAGTTACCTCAGCCTTTATCTTTACACATTAATATTGCCTGTTTTCTGTAGTAAAGCATAATACATAATCGTGTTGGGTTTTTTTCATTTGTCATTGAACCTGTCATTTTAAAACAAAACCATTCATTACTAGTCTTCATAAGACACTTTCCCCCAGAACAATCAGTGACTGAACTGGTGACTTATTCCCACATCAAAGAACAGTTTTACTTGCCTTTTTTTCCCCTATTAGAGATATTAAGAGAAAACCCATCATATGTAAATTGGATCAAATAAGAAATGCATGCAGAGACAGCAGGGGGCTTTAAATCTGTCTTTTTAGAAGTCTGACAGATATTTCCTATTTTAACTAGAGGAAAAACATTTTGAAGGCAAATGCTGAAGGAGGGAGATTTTTGGATAGCTGTTTTATATCCCACTTTATTCTGGGGGAAAACAGCTTTCATCTGCACTCTTGATTTCCGTCCATATCATTTGTATTTGTTTTTACCAGGGGTAAACTGTTGAGAGGGAAGATGTAGCTGGAATCCTCCTCCTCCAGGCCATCTCCTGCCTCTGCTGAGTGATCATTTCTCATGGGTCACAAACTGGTATTCAAGAAGCAAGCCCTTAAGTGTATTTCTCCTCATCAAATTTCTTAATTATTTCTCTAGTATTGGTCCTATTTTAGCAGTTTAAGATCCATTGCCTTCCTGGCTTAAGTATTTTTGATGGAATTAAGGCTTGAAGTGTAAAGGGAACATTTGTGCTTGTTTGGTCAATGAATGGGAAGAATAAGAAAAGTGTCTTTTTACCATCCCTCTTGTGTAACCAAGCTGAGGTAAAAAAGAATCTGACACAAAATGAACTGCAAATCGTGTTCATGGTAAACAAGAAGACATTGTCACTGAGTTTTGTTCATTATAGATTATATTTTAAAATATTTTCACTATGAAAGGTTGTAATTCTGAAAAACATTGTAGAGAGTTCCTGGTAATGATTTTTTTTTTTTTTTTTTAATTGATGTGCAATCTGTCATTTTAATAGTGATGTAGGACCTGTCATTGAAGATGTACAATATTAAGTTTCCTATCATCTATTTTTTCTTTTTTTCTTTTATAGGTTTATGTATCCGTTGACTTGGGGAAAAAATGGATCCTTCTGCACGAACAAGTTTCAAAAGATCATATTTTTTGGTAAGAATTCTGTTATTATACAAATAAAAAATGAAGAGCAAAAGTATGTCATTCTAATCAGGAAAAGTGTTTCTAGAAGTACTGATAGGGACAGTATGAGCCTTGGCATCTTTTGGAGATTGAGTATGTCAGCGTTGCGGCGTCCACTATTGCAAATTCATACTCATGCCAGTGATCATACTGAGTGTCAGCACATATAAGGGTTATAGGTCTGAAGCTATGGAGCCCAAGATTTAAAGAGAGCTGTAAAGTTCAATGAAATTGCTCTTTATTTTACTGGTGAAATTGATCTTTAGAAAGCAGAGCAGTCTTTTTTCAGAGACAAATCTATAACATTTTTTTAAGTGAGGATGAATCAGACCTATTAACTGGAGTCATATATAAACTTATGCTATTAAGGAAACTGATGAAAAATATTACTTTATCGAGTACACATATATCATATTATTTTATTTTTAGCTGAAATATTTTGCAGTCTCTCAAAATGTTTAAGAAGTGATTTAAACAGCCTGATAAAATATTTGAAGAATGTCATTGCCTGTTTTTCTATATAAATGAAATTAATTTTAAAAGTGTATGACTTTTTTTTACACCAAAATTATCTTTTTGATAGTGTTTTAATTAATTTTATATTTTAAGATGGTCAATTTGCACACTCAACATTTATCTGATTTCTATTGAAAAATCCAGAGAATTCACTCTTTCACATTTTATTTCAGTGTGTTAGTATGGACTGTGCATAACTCTGTCGTTACCAATAACTGGTATTTTTTATTACAGGATTAGTCATAATATGCTAGACACTTCTGTTCCCTAAATGTCTTTTGATTTTAGTTCTAGAAGGACTCTGCTCTGTGTCGGTTGTGTAAAGTATAATTATCCACATGTCTGGCTTCCAACAGTATTTTGTGGTTTCCTAGTGGTGTTGCCAGTATTGAAATAGATATACCTGATCTTGGTTGAAAGATTTGCGATGTGTTTGACATTCATGCTGTGGCAGGGTGACTGCATCCCAGCAGCAGAAATGATGTAAGGAGACCCTCATCATGATCCTCCTCCTTCTTCAGGTAGTTAATTTTCTCTTGAGTTGAAAGATACTCATCCTGGCCATACTCAGAGGAAAACCAAAACAAACAAAACACCAACCTGCTTGAAGTACTGGTGTAGAGGTTACAAAGCATGCAGAGCTGTTACGGTACCTACAGATACATTGGCCACTGGCCCAAAATGTATCTTGGCAAGTCCAACAGTGTGCTGGCATGAGTGCTGCTGTTGAAGCTGGGCAGGGGGGAGGTTGTGACCCAGGGCAGGGGACTTGTGAGCAGGTTAAACCCTGTTTGAAGGAGTTGAGAGCTCAAGACCTAACCCGCCTTACTGCCCTGTTGGGGTAATTATCCCTGGATTTATCAAGGGAGTTTTTTTACACTTTCAAATCAATCTTATTTTCAATCTGCAACCTACTTACTGCACACACTTTTAAAAAACAGCCTGCAGTTGGTTTGTAGTAACCCCCATCTGATTTACTTCAGTTTGTCTCAACCTTTTCTGCTGAAATAATTGAGTCAGCCTGACACTTTCTTCTTATTTGCTCCTGCAAAATATAGCCTTATTGAAGAACTTATTTCTACACAGCAGCTGGAGTTTCATAGGCAGTACACTTTACATGTATCTTAACTACCACGTGAAATGGTATAATCATTCAGAAATCACACAGTGGGTCAGAACTGTCATGTCTGCCTTATAACTGATTTTTCCTTAGAAGATTATATAGGTTGTAAATCAGGTGGGCATGTGGCTCCCTGTCTTTAATCAAAAATTTTTGTCAAATGTATTAGGTCTGAAAACCGTCAAAGTCACTAACAGGTAAGAACAAACAGTGGAAGCCTCTCTCTTTCAGACTTGTTTAATGGTGATTTTCTCATCTGAGTCTAGGTATATTTAGCACACCTAAATGCTGAAAAACAGCATACTAGTGAAAGAAATATATGTCAGTTTTGCTCTGACTCAAGCAATCTGTCAGTGTTTTTTTGTATATAAGAATTCAGCCAAGTGCATGTTTAATATTAAGTCTGTATTTTGCAGTGTTTCAGAATCCTTATGTGTCCTTATATCATTCAGACACAATCAGGGAAGTGTCCTGGAGCTTCAGTAGGAGTAACTCCCATGTAGTACTTCAAAGTAATGGTTGTTCATAAATGCCACATTCCTCTCAGATAAGAACAATAAATTCTAAGAATCTGTACATTTACAACTGTTAGAAATATTTTCTAGGTTTTTGTTGATCCCTTTACCATATATAGATCCTTCTGATTTTTCTAAAGAAGTGTATCAGCCAGCAACAACAAGGATTTGGGAGCATTTAGTGCCCTTTTAGTACCAAATGATCCTTCTCTTAAACTTCCATAGGAGTAAAAATATATAAATATATTTTACTTCTAATATCATACAAGACACTGGAATATATAAGGAATCTTCCGCGAGTGGAGGTTTGGACATGATGGCCTTCTGGTAGGAGTTTATCTCTCATGATATGAAACTTTCCACTACTTTAGGGCCTTGTGAGAATATGGGCTTTGTCATACCTTGACTATAAAGACACTAAGTCCAGTATTGTTTTCTTGGCAATATATAACATCTGATGTGTTAAAGATAAGTGAAATGAATTAAAAATAATTGTACATCTCACTATAAATGAGGGCATGTGTCTTGCTAATACTGATTGGTTGTGTCAAGAACATTTCACTGGGCAGATCTTTAGCAGATGTTTCTTCTTTGATTTCAGTCAAGCTTTGCCACTGAGGTTGATAATATAGCCTTAGATTTATATTTCATCCTGGTAACTACAAATATTATCAGTCATAATATTTTAATGTGCTTTGTGAAAACATTTTTTTGTTTCTGTACCTCCAGCAGCAGCCAGATTTTCACGCATTTCCTGTAGCAGCATATTTATTTTTACTCAGTGAAAATATAAATGCAATTAATTTAATGGAATGTCTTATATATTTATATTAAGGGAAGCTCAGTAGGGACTGAGCATTTCAAACTATTTATATTCAGATCTTATACTGTAGGTTTATGAGCAATACATTAAAATCATCTTCTAGGCTTTATTTACTTTTCAAGTGTTTTGGACCATCCCTTAAGTATCGCTGAAGATTTAATGTATGGAATTTGGTCTTTCATTATAGTGGAACTAATGGAAAGATTATTGGTATCAGTGGAAAGTGTATACTATCATCTGTATTTTAGGAGCACAGAATATTTTCTTCCCATCTGTGATACAGTGTGGTATTTTTTTACCCCCTCCCAGCCATTTTCCCAATTTGCTTCATTTATTCTTTCAGAAAGGAAAGTTGACTAATCCTTCATAGCAGTTTGCCTTCTCTTTGCATCTTAGGAGGCAAAACAGGCTTCCTAGAGAGTAGGTCAATGTCCCCAGACTGCCAGTGTTGGAGGCATTTGGACAATGCCCTTAATACCATGTTTTAAGTTTTGTTCAGCCCTGAAGTGATCAGGCAGTTGGACTAGATGATCATTGTATGTTTCTTTCAACTGAAAATAAGAACAAAACAAAACAAAAACAGAAGAGCTGTAGGGCTGCAGATAGATGTAAAGATGATTGCAAAACAGATGCATTTTAGAAATTTATTTTTCTTTTCTTGTTCTCTCATTCAAGTTGAAATGAAAAAATCAAAATATAAAAAAAAAAAACCCTGTTCAGAAAATATGGAAATAGAGAAAATAAATGCTCTGATGCTGTTCATTAAAAAGATTTTTTTTAATTTTTCAAAGAAAAATAATGAAATGTGGATTTGCAATTAACTTAAATTTAAATATTAAGTCATACTAAATCAAAACAAAAAAAATAATTTTGTATCAACATTTAAAAATTAACTGGTTTATAGCGGCATAAATGCTAGCTAGGAAGATTCAAATAATTTTTTTTTAATGTGAAAAGTTTTCATTTTGATCAAATTCTTGTGCTTTAAAATTAAGAAATTTTGATTACAATGACAAGTTTTACTGCTGCGTATAAACTTCAGCTGGATATGCATTGTTGCCCCAACGTGATGATTTCTGTTTAAGGGATATTATAGTACCCATCCTTTATAAGTACTTTTTCCAGATCTTGGTGTATTTGTAGGAGGGAATGCAAACAGATATGACCTATCCCACCCAAACTTTAAACACCCACACATCACATGGTAAGTGATTTGTTTTATGTATCAAGCCCATTTCAAAAAAAGAATGGTGCATTATGTGGCAATCCTTGAGAAGAAAGGGTAGTGCAGTTTGGGATTCCTCTGGCTCTACTGCTATTCTTCTCAGTCCCCAAGGCTTATGCACCAGTTAAGTTCCTTTTGATTTCTGAAAATAGAGCTTAGTAATACATAAGTGAAAAACAGATTGTGAATCAGCTGTCTACACCAGCACAAATATACCCCAGGACAGTAAGTCATGAATTGGTAATTACTAGAAAATTAGGCCTGGCACATTTCCTTTATGACTGTGTCTAGAGCCTTGGAAATACTTTATCCTTGACTCACTAGAATATGTGGATCCTATGCTATAGGTATCTGTTACTCTTATTTTTAGCTATAGGTTCTCCATTTTCGTGAGAGGTGGGAACATAAAAAATGACGAGTTTATTTGGGTAGAGCAGTTGTTCTCAGGGGAGCAAAGTTCTGTTCTCATCATGAAATCCCATACGAGTAATCAATCACAGCCATGCCCGTTAACGTCAAGTGTAGTGGGTTCCTGGCTATTCAAGTGTCAAGTGAAAGAGGGAATTTCAGCGATGTTATGCCCTGAAGGAGAGAGAAATGCAAAGAGAATTTCATTGAGCCTTTAACCTTCAGTTATGTTTGAAAGGCACTTGTGTGCGAAGCCAAAAATCTGTGTGGGCAGTCATTCTTATGTTTGAGTTCGTTACTTGGGATAGTATTTATTTCTATTTCTATCTGTGTGGTGATGCATATGACTGTATTGGGTTTATG